GAAGGGGCATTTTTAGGGCTGTATATTTGGCATCTAAATCAGGAACCAAGTGGGGGTTGACACATCAGCACACAGCTTGCTAGAACAGCTAGTTCTGTTTTGACTCCATGGCTGACTAGAGGCTGTGGTGCACAAGGTAGGGTCACACCCAGCATAGAGAGCATGGACATATGGCTGCATCTAACTTTACACTGAAAATGAAAATAATTGGGTTACGTAGGAACCTGCCTGTTCATACTTGCATCCTTCACTGGTTGTTAGCTCTTTTTAAAAGGCAAATGTTAATGCCAGAGGAAAGAGACAGACTGACAGCACTGACAAACACCAGTCTCCTATTCAGTTACAACACACCCAGGGTATTGGCAGAGCAATTAAAGACCCCTGTCCCCAAGATGTCTTTTAACTGGGAAAAATGTCAATTTCTTTAATGTCAAATTCCTTTCACATACTGGTAACTGCATTACAGCAAAGTTATTTAACTACACTGAGAAGCACGGGTTTGCTCAATGTCTTCTATAAACAACCAAAAAAATTCTTTGTCAGAAATCTAATTAATTGCCCAAATGCACTCATTTAAAGGGTATCTGGAAACTGCAACCAAAATCAGTATGACTGGAATTTAAATAAAATCTTCTATTCTGAAAAGTCTGGAAAAAAAAGGTGTTTGCTAGAGCATAACTAGTAACAGTCCCTCAGATCTGTCTGTTTTGTCACAGCTGACAGTCCCCGTTTAGCTTCAATTTTGTTAATAAATTTGGCCATCCAAATCCAAATACCTTAGCATTTCTGTTAGTAGTCTTTACACTAACTCTGTCTAGAATGGTGCTAAGGCACTGCTCTTCACTGACTTAATATGAGCAGAGTCCTGTTTTGGAGCTTAATGCTATTTTAGTACTTTTCTTAACATAGTCCAGCACTTGGGCTTGTATAGACAGCAGATGTCCTGCAGAGCAAAGCGCAGCATAATCAAATCTGCTGCCATAGTTGCTGGTGTAGGAAATACTTTGAAGAACAGCAATGGTCACCATCTACTTTCAGTCCAGTTTCCTAGGAGAAATGACCTTTGCAGTCATGCCACAAGTTTCGGTCTCTCTTTGTCTAAAAGGTATTGACACTTCTGAGGAAGTGGATACTGGAGCAGAGGAGGAAGATCTTACAGTTGCCTTGACTGGTAGCCTCCAATGTGAATGCAAACCTTATTAGATACTATTCATAGCAGGCAGGAAGGTAAGGGCCTGCCAGTGCCCCCTGCAGAACTGCTTGCAGTATGCAAATCCAAGAAAATAAGGCCTTATTAACTCCTTTCCTTTATACACTTTGACACTGTTAAATTATTCATTCCCATATACATACATACATATATATATATATATATATAAGAATTTGCCTTTTATATACCACTGTTACGAAGGTAGCAGCTTCCTGCAGCCATTTCTTGCTCTGTTATTGCAGTCTTCTACTACTCCTCACAATACCGGATTGAAATAGGCACTAAAATTAAAGAGCAAGCACTAAGGATCACATTTCAAGCTTGTCTTCATGGAAGGATAGTTATTGCAGGAACACACCCTTGAGGACATCTGTAAAAAAATGGTAAATGAAATTGTCTTGGTTGTGAACAAACACACTGAAATTAAAATGTCTTCCTGATCAACTGGTGAACATTAACATATCTTGTCTCTGTTGTCTGTGGAATTGCGCTTAAAACTTGCTATCTAGTATGTCCACTTTATGTCACATTTTCTTAGGAAGATGAGAGGGTGCAGAATGTTCTAGCCTTTGCATATGACTGCTTTCTAGGCTTTTTGCTTCCGTATGATTTAAAAGCAAACATAAAAACCAGGAGTTATTGAGCAGTCATGAAGGAGCCTCTGAAGAACCAGCACAAGTGTGAGACAGAGAGGAACAAAGTCAGATATTCTGGGTGTTTGTATGCTTCAGGGAAGCTATCTAAACTGCTCTTTGTGCATTATAGATCACCAGGTGAACAACAGCATCATGCCAGTGCCCTGTCAAGCCCTGTAAGTGGGTTGACCCTGGCCAGATGCCAGGTACCCACTAAAGCTGATCTATCACCCTCCCTCTGCAATTAGACAGAGGAGAGAGAAAAAATTATAAAAAACAGGTAAAGATTCATGAGTAAAGATGAGCTGGGAGAGATCACTTGCTGATTACCTTCACGGGCAAAATAGACTCAAAGTGGGGATAATACTTAAATGTATTACTAACAGTATAAAAGCCAAAGAGTAAGAAATAAAACAGTCTTAAAAACACCTTTCCTCCACTCCTCCTTCCTTCCATATTCTCCATTCTTCCACATCTCCACCACCCAGTAGTGCAGGGGGACAGGGAATTGATTGGGGTTGAAGTCAGTTGTTGTTTCTGCTGCTGCTAACATGAATCCACCCCTCAGGCAGCAGTTTTTCCCAATCTGCTGTCCTGTGGGTCACTCCTCCATGGGAGTACACTCCTTCACGGATGAGCTGTACTGATGTGGGTCCCCAACAGGGCCACAAGTCCTACCTGGGAAAAACCTGCTCCAGCGTGGGCTTCCCTCTGCAAGGGCCACAGGTCTCCCACAGGACCCTGCTCCATCCCGGGTCTCCCACAGGGTAACAGCCTCCTTCATGCATCCACCTGCTTCGGCATGGGCTCCTCCATGGGCTGCAGGGGCATCTCTGCACCCCAGTGTTTCTCCACAGGCTGCAGGGGCCTCAGCTCTGAGTCGTTCCCCTGCTCCCTGCTCCCGTGAGGTGCCTGCTCCCCCTCCTTCTGCACTGGCCTTGATGTCTACATTGTTATCCCATGTTCTCATTCTGCTCTTCCCTGGCTGGAATTTCTTCTGTGCAATGCTCCTCTATTCTTAAATATATTATCACAGAGGCGTTACTATTACTCCTAATTGGCTCAGCCTTAACCAGGAAGTCTGTCCTGTCATTGGCTCCATAGGACTGGGGAAGCTTCTAGCAGCTTCTAACAAAAGCTACTCCTGTAGCCCCTCCGCTACCAAAACCCAGCCACAGAAACCCATGCCAAGCCCTGCTGCTGCAATGCTCTGTAGGAGCTGGCAGCTTGCCAGCTTTCGTTGAGTCAGTAGTAGGGAAGGAGGCAGGTAAGGGAAAGAATCAGCAAGGGAAAACTGAATTAAACACAAAAGATGCAATTAAATTAAAATTTCCTGATGCATGTTCCACACACTTTGTACGAATGTTCAGACAACACTGATGTTTTGGATTTTCTTAGTTTCAGCTCTGTTCTGCTCTACCTACCTACTTGCCTCTTGGGCTTTGTCATGTCTTTGCAATACAATCTACTATACTCATTCTTATCCACATGAGCAGTACAGATCATCACAGGTGATGGGAACATGGTGTTCTTTGAGGTCTGCTTCTCTAAGCATCACCAGATAGTTGCCTCACTTCACGCTTAAACTTGTATGGAAAATCTCTCCATCAATAATGAAGAGTGGAAAAAAACCCTGAAGAAAATATTAAAAGTCATAGAACTGAGGCCTCACATAAGGAGTTTAGAAGTTTAGGGTGTCTAAGCACTTAGTAAAATAATTGCAAGATGAGTCAGGAGGGAAGGAGAGGTCATGGAGAAAAAGATCTGCAAAATATTACATAACAAAATTAAAACAATCAGAATTCAGGTGTTTATTACAGGCACACTCCACTAAGAAAAATGCTCTATGTCTCTTAGGAACTTCTCCACAGACAGCATTTCAATATAACAAACAAAAAGAACCAATCTAATTTATAGGGAGGTTTTGTATAAGTTAATTTCCAAGGTTGTCCAAAATTCCCACCTGTACAGTTCCTGTAAAGTGTTTGCTTTGTTGTGGAGATAGCTGGGAGATGAGCCATTTTCTCACAAGTCGGTGAATGGTCTGTTGTATGCAGCTGAGTCTAGCTGGAAGTTCCAGGCAATTAATGTCTAAGGGGATGGAATACCATCATAGCCTGATACCTACCTACACTACTACTATGATTGCAATTTCTTTCTTATATCAAAATTGTATCTAAAATTTCATGGAAATCACCATGCTGTAGTGTCTATTTTTATTTATTTGAATAAATTAGTTTGTGCTTGGGACTCTGTAACCCTCTATTTGACTTGGAGAATGCCTTAAGTTTTTCATGATGTTCTTATGCAAAATATTCTCACCATGACAATGGGGCTATTTTCTTGGTCCTGTCCGTGTTAGATGTTTCCCAAAATGGGTCTTCTCTCTCCTTTGTGACTCTTTTCACTTTCTGCTTTTCTCTGTCCAGATCTCTTACCTAGCTATGACATCTGCCATTTCACGATCATCTCATGTGCCAGTTATTGTCTTCTTAACTATAAAAACTGCTTCACTCATAAATGTCCTTAAGATTTATTCTTCTTCCTATCATCTTCTCCAAGGCTGGACCCAAACTGGACCCAAAGCCATCAAAATTCTCCATGAGAATGTGGGTGCCATTTCTCAGGCATCCTTTCATTGTCACTCAACCCTTCTGCCCAAAGCACTCCTGTCTAACTTTAGCAAATATCAAACTGCAAAATTTTTTCCATGTCTTGCTTGGTTTTTTACCTGTACTTTTCCAAACATAGTCTTCTGTTTTGGCACCAGCTATTTCCAGCTGAATAATGCTCCAAGGAACACAATAGTTAGAGATGGAGCAGCAGATTATTCCTTCCCAATGGCTGCATATATAGGGTGTTTCTAATATATCTCAAAACGACATGAATTTTTAGATTAGACTGTTTTAAAGTAGAGTTTATCTGAGGGAATATATTTGGAGCAGTCCTGACATTATCTGGCTTTATACAAAGCAAATAGCACTAGTGTATTTAATCTGATTGTGTTAAAATTTTAATTGCTCTTCTTTTATGTGTGCTTTCACATGTTTCCTTACTGAATGTCTCTCAACTCTTCCTTGGCCAAGAGAAGTTAGTATATTTGTTGGAGAAACTGAAATATGCATAGAACATAAACATGTTGTTTATTTTCTTAGGATTTGAATTTTTTGAAACAAGTGCCAAGGAAAACATTAATGTCAAGCAGACATTTGAGCGACTTGTGGATATCATCTGTGACAAAATGTCAGAAAGTCTGGAGATGAATACCACCACTGCTGCCAGCAACCAGAATACACGGCTAAAGGACACTCCTCCTCCACAGCAGCCCAACTGCAGCTGTTAATGCAGCTATCAGCAAAGGCTCCAGTGTGTTCTGTTGCCAAGAGTTTTTCAGAATGTTTATGAATGGTCTATATGCCTTTTTTTAATACTGTCTTATTAATTTATTTGGGAAAACAGTCTTATTTTATGTCAGCAGTAGTTTGAGTATGCGTATGAAGATGGAACAATTATTAGTCTGAAAGGATGATCCACATTTTAGTATCTGGCTTTTGCATGCAGGCTGGCTATTAATTTCTCTTTTGCTTTTACTGTTTTACATCACAATCACTTCAGCTGGTGCCATGTCGTCAGACCATATTTGCCTAGAATTGTCTCTCACTTCATCACTTTCCAGTTATATAATCAAATCTATAGGGTAGTGGCCAGGCTGTTTTAGAATAAGCCTCCTGATTCCATTTTTATATCCTCCTGACTGAAAATGAATTTAGAAGTATCCTTGTAGTGAGACAATCCCTCATTCTGTCCAGGCCATTTGTATAAGGGACACATACTGGAGCAAGTTGCCTACACTCATTACAATGTTACGCATCCTGGTTGACTGGAAACTGTAGAAGTTAGAAAGAAGTTAGTTCCTGGACTCAAAGCCACCAGAATTTTCTGTGAGTTTCCAGTTGGGTGGTATTTATCCAGACCCTCAGAGATAATACATACTTCATCCTGTCTGGATAGCTAGTGTGTTTACTTTTCCATGGGAGCTGCATGTCTATCTAATAACTTTCTGAAACTGTACTTAATTTCTCATTCCATCATTATGGAGATCCCAATCTTACCTACCCCTGTAGTGGAGGGTTGATTAACTCTTTCCATTTCTACCTGTGTGAGATATTAACCACAAAGTTCTATATTATCACTGACAGAGCCAAATCCATTGTGCCTAATTGTTCATAGCCAAGAATTTCCTTATCATGTTGCTGTCAAACCTCCATGCTTTGATTTTCAGAATTTAATCTCCCATTCAGTCACTGAGACAGCCACCACTGGCTACAAACACTTATACTTTACTCAGACTTGTTGCAGAAGAGCTGATGGTGTCAGTGAACTGAAGTTTGACCTCATTTTTTCCATCTGTTTTGTCAAGAGAATTGGAATTTTTAAAACTTTAGGAGTAATAAAAAATTGTCAACATTTCTAGTCTTAGGCTGAATATATTAATAAGATGAGCAAAAGGCTGTGAAGATAGCAGAATAAAGTACACAAATTATTTTTAATAAAGTGGTAAAATAGTCATATTTCACAGTTTTTACTCCTTTAAGTATATGCTTACATCTGTGCCCTGGAGTACTTTGTACAACTGCTTTACTTGCATTACAATGACATTTTTTAACTAAACAATGTAATTGAAGAAGCACTGACTATTTTATTATTCCAGTTAGGCAGAATTTAGGCCAAGGTTGATATTTCTTAAACTGTCTGCAGTGGGAAGAGGAAGATACACTAAAAAAAATAGAAGTAACATATGGTCCTCCAAATGGCTCATAACTGCAAAGAAATCCCTCTACATACTTTATGTTATTTGAAGGTAATTTATATAACTCTTGATACACAATAAGAGAAAATGATCCCTTTTTTTAGTCTGATTAAATAATCTACGTACACTTTGACACAGTTAAAATTCCTTCCAAACAAGGCATATAGACATACGTAAAATGGGTATGCCATGAGGGTGCCTACATTGGTTGCACAACTTAAATGAGTAAATATTCTTTGTTCAGTCTGGGGTTTTAAACCATGTCTGTCCTGTTAACTAGTTTACTTAGGCACTTTTTTCCTAGTAAACTTGGACACCATGAAGAGAAACCACTATCCTCTTTAGGGCCAATGAGCAGTCAAGCAGAAGAGGCATGTGCTATCCAAACCACAATCCTGTCTCTCTCTGGGGTGCTGCTTTTCCCTCCTTCTAAGGCAGTGTGTTGCCAACTGTCCTGAGAGACTTAGGACCTCTTTACCCACTACCATTAGTACACATTTCTACCAACTGATTTGAAAAAAAAAAGAAACAATACAAAGTTGAGGAAGCTTAGTTTGAAACAGTGGGCAGTTTTCCATGCTTTTATTGTTAATGTGCAGTTATTCCTGCTGGAGAAAAAGGATCAGGAGACCCTTGAGAAAGAATTCAGCTTCCGCTCTCAAGTGATTTAGAAAAACGTTATGTTGTATTATTAGTCTGAACCATCTCAGGCAAGGTGAGGAGAGAGAAGGATATAATCTCATCATCCCTGAGCTTGGGCATATCCTGCAGATGGCTAAAAGTGCATCTAAATGCACTGGCTAAAATTGGCTAAAATTGTCATCTCTTGTGCACAATGAAACAAAGAAAAAAAACCTGCAGTAAGATGCCCCTTACTGCAGCCACAGTATGCTTGTATTCCACTGCAGTGAATTTAAGACCCTCCCTGCCTCAGTATAACCATGTAGACTCTAATGATGGAAACAGATTATTAGTGTATATCTTTTTAAAAAATCTGAGTGATGGGTAAAGAGTTCTTTACATAAATGCAATTAATTAATTGCTTTTCATTTTGCATGGGCAGAAGAGGAACAGCAAAGTCAGAGGGCGATACTTCTCTGCTTCATGTTTCTGAGACAACTAACCTCCCAGGCCTCCGCACGTTTGGCCTTCTGCATGGGGTGGGGAGGAAGGGGGAAGCAGCTGCCATAGTAATGTTGTTCCTTAGAGTACCAAAAATGTCTTAAAAATTAAAAACTCATCTAAAGTACAGCAGCAGAACCAGTCAGTACTTGAAATCAAGGAATTTTGTGTTGACACTCAGACATTTTTGTGGAGTTCAGAATTAGATTAATTTTTAAAATTTTCTAATAAAATACTTGGAGTTTTTAAAAATCAAACTGTTTAAAACCCTAGGCAAATTGCTCGGACTTCTGAGTTGATACTGTTTTGAGTAGAAGGTTGGAGGTGTGACCTGCTGAACTCCCACCAAACCCAATTTATGTTATCATGACTTTCTCTAAAATTGAAAATGTGTGAAAGTTCAAGTAAATCTTTTCTTAACAATTCGGGTTACCTACTATTGGAAAAGTAGGCTTTGATTTTCCATCAGAGGTTGGCTTTTGCAGCCACATGCTTTACAGAAATACTGAATTTTGTGCTATAAAACTTGGTCACATGTAGATCATGAGCATCATGATCTCAGTACCTCTCTCAGCTGGAACTTACCTATTGTAGAGAAACACTAAAGACAAAAAAGCTTTTGAAAAGTCACTTACTATCCCTTCTCCAAACATTCTCAGAATTCTGAGGGGACTAGCAGTATTGGTTTTTATTTAAATTTAAATTCTATTAATTAATAATTGGGTATCCAAAACCAGTCTGTGTCACTCTGGCTTGGATCCTCTTGACTTTTGTGGTAGAACTGCAGTTTTTCTTAAATTTAGGAAGGCTGAACGTTTTGGGAAAACCCATCACAACTTGATCAAGGGCCTAAATTTAAACAATCAATGTCTTGTTCTTCACACATATCTAATAGTCACAGATTATGAGTTGTTGGAAGAGACGAGCAGGTTTTGGTTATATCCCTGATCTATCCTTTAGCGTGGCAGAATTCCACCTAGAGCAAGTACCAGGCTACAGAGCACCATATTTTACTAATGGAAGAGGGGATGGATTATTAAACTGAAGCCTGGGATAACAGATCCTAAACTACTTTCAGCCTCATCACAAATCTTGGTGAAAAAGTACTTGCACTCCTTGCACTAATTTGTTGTTACTCTCAGCACAGAAATAGAACTGAATATCACAGTCTAGCCACAGATACCCCCTTCAGCTGAGATTTATTCATTTGGTGAGATACAGCAGTTGACACACAGAGCATGTTAAATTTCTGAGATGTTAGAGTCCTGAGCTCCATAGTGCCAGCTGAACTAATACTACACAACCTGTTTTCCAAGTTATGATCTAGATTAAAGCTTATAGCAGCAGGCTAATTCTGTGCATGGCACCAGCCTTATCATGCTTTGATAGAGTGTTGCTTGTTGTACCTTCAAACTAGTGCTCAGAAAATGCCTTGGGAGCATATAGGAGCATGGGATTGACTGGTTCCTGCAGTGTCTCCTGGTAACAGCCTGCCAAACAGCTACCAAGCCCTGCTTGGTGGAACCTTTAGATGCATGTTTCGGTTTCTTTTAAGAGTTCATGTTCACAAGGTCTAAGTGCAACTAACCTAATGCTGTACCTTTTATTTTTATTGTTGGTGATTAGACCAATTTATTTATATTTTATTTATACTTGTTCATTTGCTGGTTTAAGTGCATATGAACTAGCCTGATTTTCTACTCTTTCTCTCTGAACGGCTGTGTTAAGTGTCTGTTACGTGGAGGTCTTTGTTCCTTTGTGCTTCTACTTAATGTAATGCCTAGACAAACTACCTGAGCAACTACATCTATGTGGCCTTTTCCAGAGCACCAGTCTGAAAGATTAAGTTTTCTTCCCAGTCTGCTCAGCTCTGTATATCCATCTGTACCACCTTCTTTATTTTAGAAATGAAATGCTATTTCAGGGTGCACAAAATTTGCTGGAGTTTTATCCTAACTTTGAAAACGCTTTGAATTTGCCATTTTTTAGAAAAAAATAGTCGCAAAAATTCTACATTTGATGTGGATGCATTTGTTTTGTCTGTAGCAGATAAATGATGCTGTAATTGCATTCAAAAAGAAGCCTTCTCACAAATTCCACTCCTCTCCAACTACTCTTTTTTATATTTGTTTGTGAGAGGTAAGTTTTATTATCTGCATTCTTATAGGCATCAGCTAAATTTCTGTTCTGCTGACAGACCGATTCCTTCTTGGCCTGTTTTATATAGACACACAGTGTATAAGCCTAGTTCTTGTTTAGGATGACAGATATGTGAGATCATGAGTTTGAACCTACATAGATGAGCCCTCAGGGTGTAAAGCATTATGTCTTCACCTATGCCAACAGGGGAGTAAGTTGTGTTAATTTACACCATTTAATCCATACATTCTGACTCCAGACTCTCCAGGGCTTGTCATTTGTCAAGTCCCATTTAAAGAGGCAACTCATTTCAATTATTTGAGTGAATTCTACCGGTTTTATTTATTTAGGGGTAAATGTAGTTCACCTCCACAAATTAAGCTTTCTTTCTTTTTTGGTTTGGCTTGGTTTATCCATGGATGTTCAGTGAAGCAAAACTTGTAACATATAGTATGCACATATACACAGCAGTACATCTTTGGTACTCATTCAATTCCCACTGTTACTTTTTCATGTACAGTGCCACCTTCCCTAAATGTCACAGTGTAATTTATCCATAAATTGTCATTACCACTGGAAATCAAATGTGTTACATTTGAAGACCATAGTTTTATCATCCACAGTTCTGGCAGAGGTAGATGGCTTATCATTTGTAGAATAAGGTATTTGGTATTGATCTTGGGGGGGAAGCAAAAATGCTAATTTTCCAATAACTTCAGGATCACACATAACATGCAGAAATGAAAGCTAGAGATTGCTTACTACTTCTGGTGATAAATTTCCTCGAGTAATTCTGACATGTACCTGCAACTAGTGATAAAAGAAATGTTTGTGCTGTAAGTCCTGTTCAATATTTTATCAGTAATGTCATATCTGTTGTGACTCAGTTGGACCGTCACAATGTGTAACCTATATACTAGTGTTCGTGGCTTTCAAATGTCTTAAATGTTGCATGAAATTATGTTACAAAAAATAGATATGTTTTCTGTTTTTGAATACCTCAAAACTGAGGGATCATGGGCCAATAAGTGCAATATTTAATTATTTACTCAGTGTATGTAAACATGTGTGAAAAGGAGACGCATCATGTATGTGTGATAAGCTGTTGATGATGCCTTTGTGGCTTAAGATTTCCAGTAGATGTACACGTCTTTTAGAAAAATTCTATAGTAAACACTTTACCAGTGTAGTGTGAGGATATTCATAAGTAACTTAAACTATTTTTCATATATGAGACAATGGTAAAAAATATTTGTATGTTTACTGCAAGTGCATGTCAATTTTACTTTTAGAGTTGTGATGTCCTTTTCTGAAAATTGTCATGTTACACCAACACTAGTGGGACAGCACTTTCAGTCAGAAGATGCCTGTAACCATTGCTAGATTGTCCACCCATATTTTAAAGCATGTTCTCTAGAAGCATTAAAAGAACCTCTTAGAGCTCAGCAGTTACACTGAGTTAAAGAGTCAATTACATGCTCTGTTTGCCTGTATTGTATAATATCATGTGAGCATGTTTTCTTTAATCTGATACTGTTAACTCATAATACTTATCTGAAATACTAAATAGGGGTACCCAAGATGCTTGCAGATGACTTGTCAAACTTCAGGTGGTGCCCTGGGTTAACATTTTGGGAACAGCTTGAAGGTCACACTCAGCAGCACAGCACAGTGGATGGTGACTTTAATTAAGTCACTTTTGAAATTAAGTTTCTTAACTTCTCTAGATTCTAAAGATGGAAGACATATCCTTAAATATATTGACCCGCATTCTTCACTCCACTGTTACATGTCACTCAAAGTTCAACAACTCCACTATTAGAAGTAAAGCTGAGGTACAAATGGAAACAAAATGCAGGTCAAAATCTAACCATGAAATTAACAGGAAACGTCCAATAATTTATTTTTACTTTCCTGCTAACCTTACATATTTCTAGTAGTTCTCAAAGAACACGAGCAGGGCCACCGGTACTCAGCAAAACCCTTGGGTACATTTTGGACCTTTAAACCCTGAATCACTGCTCTGCCATGGGTTCCCAGCCATGCCCACAGAGTCTGTTAATTCTTGCTACATCTTTGGTTTCAAAGGAATGTGTCTTCTGTCTTGGGAATTTGCTATAGATATAAATATAGATATAGATATAGATAGATATAGGCCACTGTGTCTGGGCCATGGGAGGAACTGGTTTTGCTGAACAAATTTCATAAAAAAGTATATTCATTGGTACCATACTAAAGTACATAAGAAGATTTTTAGTGTGGTCTGATGCATTTTTGTGACAACGTATAAGGTAGATTTAGGGTTTGGTTTTTAGTTGGTGTTTTTGTTGTTGTTGTTGTTTGGGTTTTTTGGGGTTTTTTTGTGGGTTTTTGTGTGTTTGTTTTTTTTTTTTTTTAATTAGCTTGATCAGGAAAATAATGAAACTCTTAGGCCTGCTGGAAACCAGTATCAAGGTTTTCCTTTCCTATGTCATCAGGTAGTTTCACTGAGAAAGCAAAATAGCCAGACTGCATTAAGTAGCACAGGACAGTACTTGCAATGACCTGAAAAGTCCTTTTTAAAATTCTCACTTTCTTTGTACCTTCTGCTATTAAAACTTCTGCAAAATTATACAGACCAGAGTGAAATGAAAATGTATATGGAGAGAAAATGGGGATCATTAATCAAAAAAAGGAAATTCTCAGCATCATTGTAGCTGAGCAACAGAAAAAGTAGTAGTCATGAGATACCACTTAAATAGAAATCTACAATATATAACGTGCTACAGGACTATGTAAACTTTTTATTGCTAAGTGACCTGACAGTTCAAGGGCTGGCAGATAATTTTACCTAGATTTTTTATTATTCCTCATAGGCATGCACAAAGATAAATGCTTACCTTGAAAATACTGTTCTGGTTCCCTCAAACTAGCTTGTTAGCTGAATTGTTCTTAAAGAAAAGTTGAAGTACTTGCTTAGGATACCTTCACGAGGGGATGAGACTCAATCTGTGCCTTCTCCCCTGATTCTTACTGCAATATAGTTACTGTGGTTTTAAAAAATATGTTAGTTAAAATGCTGCTGAGTGTCAGATTTTGTGAATCTTCTGCATACGTCCATGGGAGCTCTTTCTGAATGTGAAGTACAAATTTTATCTGTGTGGAGAGTTTTAATTCTGTGAGGATGTAGAGACCATATGTATTCTCAAAGGTATTCTCATTGGATATTCTGTTTGTGTGTGACTTCTGTATACCAAGTGGTTTTGTTTAATTTTTTCTGGATTTTTTTTCTTTTTGCGATTACAATAAATATTCCAGAGACTATACTCGTGAATCAGCTGTGGTGACATGGTGTTACACCCCACGCCATTTTTATTTTCATTCACTTACTAAGACTGGAAGAGAATAACTTCATTTTTGACAAAATGACAGACAAAATACCACATCTGCAATAATTAATTTCATTAATATCCTCTCAGTAGCACCGGGGATTGTAGTCCTGTATGAATTCCACAGAATTCACTGGAGACTTTACCCTAGAAGTCTGAAGGAGAAAGGCATATAGATACTTCCTTAGCAAAAGCATGCTGCTGTCTTCAGCCTATATGCTGACCATTTAAAATAGGGCAAAGTTTTTTCTTTTGATGTTTTACTGTCCAAACTGTTAAACAGCATATATACTTTTTGGATGCTGTTATTAGTTTGTCGGGTAATCTTTGTCCAAATGCACCATCTCAGTTGTGGGTGGTTATTTCACACAAATTGTGATATATGACTGTCCAGTTATTGTTTTTTTCTACATAAACAGACACACACAAACACATACCCCCCTTTATGCTAATTTGAACCCTGCTGTGACTCCTGAATTTATCTTTCCTCCACATAAGTCCTAATCTTCAATCAATCTGTTGAACAAGTTGCACTGTCCCCTGTGTCCTCCAGCTCCTGTGATCAGGCATTCATATACAAACTCTTTTAGCACATGTCCCCTCTTGTTGTTCTGCTGTGTTTAAGCCCAGTTCCCCTATTCTTCTGGTATATTTACATCTCATCTTCAAAATAAATATTTCCTGATAATTTTGTAATTCCCTCTCAACACAAGGTGCTTCCCAGCTTTTTGTTTGTGATCCTGTATCTCTAGACAGGTTTCTGCTGAAGGGCCTACCTGTGCAGCTCACTGTGCTCACTCCTAGAGCATCTATTTCTAGCAGAGACACTTGTTATCAAATCACTTCTGATGACACTGGCAAAATAGTGTCTTTTCCATCTACCTCATTTATGCCATTGCTCCATAAGATTCACCCTAATGTACTTGCTTCACATATTAGGGTGATTGGAAGACAAGAATGAGGTGTAAAAGGGGAAGGTTAACAGGGAAGAAATAGATGACTTCTGACAGATACCTTGGAATCAGAGAGTTTTTGAATTGCTGTTATTTTGAACATGCTGAAACTTATATAGAATTAAACTGGAGAAAATCACAGATGGGTAGATGAGAATGGTGATCTACTAGGATAAAACCTCAACGAGATATTTCTTACTCAAGGAAACCCATTTTTATCCTATTTCCAGTCAGAAGGCTGGAGACAGAAAGTTGCTAACCACCAAAAAAACACAACATACATCACAAATGTTGATGGGAAGGGGAGATGTAAAGTGACAAAGAAAAAATTCCCAGCTTAGAGTAAGAAAGGGAAAACAAAATATCCCAGTGAACAACATCAAGAAAGACAAACTGTGTGCTTGCACCCAACCGAGGGGACTCAGCAAGGTAATGGAAAACCAAGGCAGTTAAGTGCAAGGAGGGTTAGTTGATATCTGTATAGACCTGAGCAACTTTTGAGCTGCAAAGTGAAAAACCTTCAAAAATCTTCTGAACTGCCTTTCTATATCTGTGTGTCTGTTGGCATTCATGCAAGATCCTGAAGAACTAAACTGTAAGAAGATTTAGAAAAAAAGATTGCTTTAAGCCATGGTGAACATAGGTTGTCAGTAGCAGGCACATGCAGTGGGAAGCTGGTCCTATCCTCCATGATGTCCTAGCCACAAGGTCTGCCATTGGATCTGGTCCTAGTGCTCCACTGAGACTTGAGAATCTGAAGGTGCTGAAGGAGTGGCAGGATGAAGAGACATGCCAGCCCTGGCTAAGCCAAAGAGTGAGCTCAGGCAGCTCTGCAACTGCAGTGCGATGGGAAATGAGACCAGAGGCAACCTAGTAAAAATGGTGTGGAAGGGCCAACGCCCACCTAAACTCCCAGCTGTTAAGAAGATAAAAACCATCTTCTTGAAGAGTTAGAAAACCTAATATTACACTCTTCACTTCCCAACAGTTGCCCCAGGGGAAGATATCTGGGGTATCTGGGACCTCCACATGCAGCACCGTGCTCTTCTGAGGAGATACAGCATTTTCCTCATGTGCAAGCACACATGAAGAGTGACCTTGGACTGCAAACTGTCACCCTTAATGAGGCAGTGCAGCTTACCCAATACAGCTTGGCCAGCTACAGATATAAGCATGCTCACAGCAGAGCAGAGCAGCCTCACTCTGTGGCCCCTGGAAGGTTTTCTGAGGCCCCAGGAAGTGTGTCCTCACTTGTTTCAAATCAATGCCTGTGGTCAGAAAATAAGTCTATGAATAGCTGTAGAGCATCTGGGGATGCCACACAGGATATCTGCCTCTCACCAGACTCCTGAATTTTTAAAGTTTAGATAAGGGTTTAGGAACATAAGATCAGGAAGCTATTTTTTAAAAAACTCTGCCCTGTTTTTCTTTCAAGAAGATGTACCCTAAGAGATACAGCATATCTTTGTTTCTATTGTTATCTCTAACACTCAGCAAAGCAAGGAGAATGCTTATGCCCTGACCCCAGCCCTACCAGCCCCTGTGCAGGCCAGCAGCATGGTGCACACAGCCTGCTCTGCCAGCCATGCCCTGCAGCTGCAAGGCAGCTGTCAGCTCAGGCAACATCTGGTGAGTGTCTTGGGTGGAAACTGCCTTTGGGCAATCTCTTTTATTTCTGTTGGGGAACAACACTAAAAACTGTGTAGAAAATAAAGCCATTTCAAATTGCAGTTTTTCTCTTCGGTAATTAACAATAGGGAAATGAGTTTTCTGATGTCTTTGCTGCATGAGGGACATAACCATCCACATGCCACCTGGCAAAGCAGAAAAACACTAAGGGTATAACAACAGTCAAGAGGGAACAAATGTTACTTTGTGTCTATGCAAGATAAAAATACCTGCACTAGCATTACTTACAAGTTGATTAAATAGCCTCCTTTTACCTCACAGGGAATGGGGACCATCTACCAAGATGGAGGTACATGTTGTCCATGTTAAGTCTACAGAAGGTCACGTAACCTAGGGCATACACAGGATTTCAGACACAGCCTTTCATTTCAAGAGTCCTGTGCCCTTGGTCAATAGGCTGGCTGATATCTGCTTTTATTATATGAGTGCTTTCTATACCATCTTATTAGGGGACATAAGTACCTGGCCCTGGGATGAACATTTCCATCTGGAAATGGCCTAATTCTCCTTCTACATGTGACTCCCATTTTTTTCCCACTAATTACTTTCTTGAAATATAATAATAGGGATTCCAGAAGTATAAAAGCAGGGATTTTTTCCTATTTCCTTAGTATATAAAATTTTCACTGTTACATTTCAGAGGTGTCATGGTTTTGCCCAGCCAGCCAGCCCCTAGGGCTGAGGATGGTTTTGTCCAGGTGGATTTCCAGACAAGAAGCCAATTAAAACTCTCAGTAATGCCTTTGCTAATTACATATTTAAGAAAACAGAAGAGAAAGTGATTATGCAGTTAAAAATTAAGAGCAGCAGCCATGTAGGAGAGGTGGCAGCGGGTCCCGAAGTGAAGGCCAGGCTCTCTCCTCCCCCGGCTTGGGCCGGGGGCAGGTGTAGCACTGAAGTCCCCCCTTCTCTCATGTAAGAGAGTGAAGAAAAAAAACTTTAGAGGAGGACTGACTACTTGGACAGAAACCCCTGCAAAAGAATTCCATCAAAGAGATAACAAAGTGTCCAAGGTCAAAGCTGGCAGCTGCAGGGGAGAGAAGAAAAGTGCAAAGGGGGACCTGTTACTCCCCCCTTTCGCTCTCTCCTTTCAGCAGGGAAAAGACTGAAAAATAATCCCTACCACCTGTAGAAGTTTGTTGGAGTGAGGAGACCCTCATGCGGCTCACAGAGGAGCTTGTGGATGTACCAGGGAGCCAAGACTTCATGAGAGGGACTAAAATGAGGCAGAGTCCTGTTGAAGGTTTATGATCCCAAAGGGATGAGCCTTACGCTGAAGCAAAAGACGGCTCGAGTAACCTTGGGATCCGAGTGAGGGATCCATGCTGCTACTGAAGATTTGTGACCTTGAGAGAGCGAGCCTTACGCCAGAGCAGAAAACGGCTTGGGTAAGGATGTTAGAATCCATGTGTGGGATCCATGCTAAACCCATGTCGGAGAGGTCTATCAAGGGCTGTTCTCCCGTGGAGAGGGACCTCCATAGGGAAACAGGGGTGGACTCATAAACCATTATCCCCTGTAACCCTGTGGTGAAGATCCATGGTAAGCAAGTGTCCCCTTGCAAGTCCATGGAAGAGAAAACCTTCAGGGCCTGGGTAACCCCCAGCCTCTGGTCTTAGCCCAGGAGGGGGGTAGGCCCAGCCCTGGAGGCCAACACAGAACAAGAGAAAAAGAGAAAGAATTCCTGCTGCAATAAGAGTACTGCAGAGTTATTGAAGAAACCTGGAGCTCCAAGAAATGGAGAAAGAAACGACTTTTCCTCCTTGGACTGATATAAAGAGGGGAGAAGTATTTCTGTAAATACATAGTACTTTTACTTAAGTAGAATTGTTATAGATGTAGTCCTTTAATAATTTTTATTTTGCTAGTAGTAAATGTTAATACTATTTTCCCCAAATCCAGTCTCTTTTGTCTGCATAAACCTTCTCTCAACAAATAGTAATTGTGTGGAAGGTGTGAAAGGAAATTTACCCAGAGCAAAACCACGACAAGAGGAAGCCAGAAAGACAACTTATTAATCTACTAAACCTTCTCCCCTGTGTTATCAGTCTTGGCTAATGGTAATCTGACTGCACAGTCCCATAATGCAGAAATCACTAACTCAGACTGGCAGGTGCTTGGCAACTGCTAACAATGAAAAATGGAGAAATGACAGAACTACATTTTGGAGATGTGCTGGCAACACATCCAAGACATCCCTCCTGCAGTGGGCTCATTACTGGTTTAAACTCTTCAGCTGGGGTAAGAGGCCTTAGTGTCTCAGTGCTAAGCAAACAGATGCCTTCTCCTTCATTC